TCAACAACTAAGTKTAGAGGACATAGGGAACCAGTGGAGGTGAAAACTATCAGGTAAGTTCAAGTAAAATTAGACTCTCCATCTGGGAAAAAAAAAATAGAAAGGAGAGGAGCTTAGATTCACCAAAAATTAGGTTTCTTAGGTCTCTTTCCAAAGCACCAGCACAGCGAATATCTACCTTGAGTGCCTTTTTCTCTCAAAGGAGATTGGGATTTGTTTCTATTACTTCTGAAGAAAATGTCCTGATATCCTGGTTGGCAGATATAGCATTTTTCATATACTTCATTTTGTACCAGTAAGAAAAATGAGCAATTCATTGGATTTGGATTGACCTGTTTGGAGTTAGATTTTTGTTTGTTTGTTTCTTTGTTTTTTTTTTTTTTTCCCTAGCCTCAGAAACTGAAAAAGTAATTGTAACCTGATAGAGAGGGAAAAATAAGCTATTTGCTAACTTTTGATCTCTGAGGAAGAGTTTTTGGGTAGAGTATCTGCTTGACTGCAAAAAATGCCTGGGAGCTATGAGCAAAGAAACTCTTTCCTACAGCTGCTTTCCCAGTGGTCCATGAGTAGAAAGAATACACTGTTATTACAAGGGCCTTAGGAGTACTTACTACCTTTTCAGTGGGAGGAAATAATGGATTTAGCAACTCCCAAGGAGTCAAGATGTGCACTTGACATTCACTAAGGTTTAGTAAGGGCAAGAGCACAAATACATTTGTTGCATATTCTGAATGCATGACTATAAGTGCTGTTACCACTGAAAGTCTATAGTTCTCTTTGAAGAGGTTTGAAAGGGCAGAAGTGTCACCTACCAGCTTATAGGAAAAATAATGTAAAAACAGTGAAAAGAAATAAAGAGTTTGTCAGCCTCAGTCCTCATGCTCATCAGAATGGCACAAACCTGGAGTCGTGCAGAGGTAACTCAACTTCTGGGAGCACAGTGGAGAGCAAGGCGGGCAGGGGAAGCTTAATTGCATGCAGAAGTTTGCCACATAATCAGTTCTTAGTTTAGGACAATTATTTAATCAAAGACAAAAGCAGCACATTTCACATTTCCCACAAAATAAATCAATAAAAAGTGCATTATAAAAGAATGAGACAATCTTATATTTACCATAGTCACAACTTTTTTACAGGGTCTGTGTGAACCTTTGGGATTTCAAGTTTGCATGCCTTCATGAAACAAAGACCTGCTTGCTGTAACTGTTATCGCTGCACTTTTCAGAGCTCAGAAAGCACAGCTCTAGGGATTTCAAAAGCCTCAGACTCAGCAGATATTCCAAAGTTTAATTTGTGAAGTGAGACAGCTGACAGACTACAGACTCAATTTTACTTCACAGAAGCTAAGGCCACGAATCTAATCATATGTCTCTTGAATCAGCGATGATTAATGAGTTTCAAGCCCTTTAAAACATGTGAAGGCCAGTAGTTCAGAAAGTAAAGGCTTCCTCTAGCATGGAAAAGAAGCAAAATCTTGCTGCATAGTGACGTGGTCACAAGGTACCATCTTGTTGTGCTATTGCAGTGCTTCATAATTGAGTAAGAGTTACCAGGTTCAATTGGGATATGAGAATTTAAAACATTTCCTTTCACAGCAGCAGTTCACTGCTGTCATTTTAAAGAAAAGTGGATTCCCCAAGGCAACCTAGTGAGCATTTCTGCATCAAATGTTGCCTATGTGCATGAAAGTAAGTATCCCTTGGAGCAGCAAGCTGAGCAATGTACCAAGGAATGACAAATAACAGCTCAATACACAGAGAAATAACTACCGGGAACTCTTACTCAAAGCCAGAAGGGTTCTGGCTGGGGCTGTAAGGCAAAGCAGTCTCCATTTTGACAGATATGGTGTATGTGCTAAGCAAGAAAATGTGGCTTTAACAGTCACAAGTCTTGRACCTGTAGCTCTCGAGCATGAGTCTCAGAGTTTAGTATATTCTATATTTAAGGATGGGAGCATTCTCTTTTCTTGCTTCTAGCACCACTAATCTGCCATCTTGAAGCTGATGGGATTATATTTAGTTGATCTAGTAATGTAAAATGTACTTACTATTTGTTCTTCATGAAATGAATTAATACCTGTGAGGAGGCAAAAGGATATTTTTTGCACACATTGAGCCTCCAGAGTTGTAAAATAGTACATTACATTTACTACACTATAAAGTCTGCCTTCCAGTTAGAAGGAAATGGACAGGGCAACTTTGGACCATTTAACACAAAAGCAGAATAGACAGTGAAGGCTGCTTGGGCCTAGTGAAGGATGAAGAGATCTTTGCAACTATTCATTCCATCAGCAACCTTTCAGCAAATAAAAACAGGTTTTATTTGCTTGAATTAGCTGTTTTATTTTGTTAATGCGTTAGTTGTTTAGTGCACCCAAAGTTTTCATTAGCAGCTTTGCATGCAGCAGCGAAGAACCTCTTGAACATTAGCAATTTGCTAGAATTGCCCTCTCTCTTTGAACTGATCTCTGTGGGCAGAGACATCCAGAGAGGTATGGAAAGGAGAGGGAATTCCTGCCCTCCCACAACCCTCCCACCTTTTCAGGGCAGATGCTTGATGCTGCTGGACACCTCCTGGGCTTCAGATCGTGCAGGGATTTGCACCAGCTTGCTTCCAGTTAAAAGGGTTCCTACTGTGCCTACGAAGGCACACAGATCATTGCACCTGTTTTAAAATCATGTCTTGCATGAGTCTAGGAGGAAGAAAAGTCAGTGCCCTTGCTGAGCAAGCAGAAGAAAAAGAAAAAAGCAGGCAGCATAAAAATGTAAATTAAAGATGTTTACCATCTTAATTTACATCTTTCCCTGCTTTGTGAAATCTCATGTTGCTTTTCATTAACCCACAACTAAGTAGAAAAATAATTGCTAGGATCTAATTCAATCTTGAAACATCAACAAAGGGACAGGATTTATATAGTACTGATATTTTAGTCTCATCTACAGTGCAGGTCTATTTAAAAAGAACTGGTATGTACTATTATTTTGCAAACAKCATCCCAAACAATTACAATTCAGTCTCAAAATCTCTAATATTAGATACTTCACCAAATTAGTGCTGTCAATTAAAAAAGGAATGAAAACAAATAAAGAGTATAAACCATATATTTCCGGGCAAATATCATATACAGTTATGGATTGACTATCATTAAATCACTAAGAAAATAACAGCAAAGAATCTGAAAAAAATATATTCATGAAAATCTTTGAAGCCCCGCATTATATTTGAAATGGTTTTGATTATAGAAAAGGCAGCAAATTTTACTTATTTTGAGCTTATTCAGTTTGTATCTTGTACATCTTTTACAGTGTATAACTGGATAAGTGTTGATGCATAAAGACGTAATTCACCAGTGTTGGTCATAACTAATATTAAAATAAATAAGCAAGTATACTGAGAAGATACACACTGCGCATAGAGAACTCATCCTAATTATACATAATCAGAGGGATTCAAGTAGAAAGTTATGCTATGAATTTCTGGAAGAAAACCAAATCTTAGAAACAACACTCTCAACACCTTTTCTGAGAAATTTTCTTCTGAAATTAGCTTTAATCTTATAAACCCAAGCTGAAGTTAAAAAATAAAATGCCTAAATGTGAATGATAAGACAAGTAGATAAAAAAAAAAGTTCTTCACATTTATAAACAACAAGTTGCATTTTCAGTTTTCAGATGCAATCATCTAAGCAGGGATCCTTCACACTTAACTTTAGCCTTCTGGAAGTTACACACTAAGCTAATTGTCTGTTACCTTTGATTCAGTGTAGATCCTGCTTATCCAAGACACCAATTTTAGAAGGATCCACCAGTTCAAGATAGCTGCTTTTATTCAGCCTACCAAGACAAGTTTCTATTTTTCTTCCTCATCAGGAGGGTAAGAATATATGCATGGTCATTTTAAACCTGAGGGAATTTTTAAATGGCTCAGATTAGGTGGGATGGGATTAGGTGGAATGAATTGGGTCAAATCAATAAATATTTCTAGGTGTCTATATCCCAATGGAAATTATGAACCACAGTGTGTTTGTTCCCTTGTCTGCTTTTTAGGGTACTTCAGTGACCCACAAACCCAACAGAACTATCCTTGTGGTTGAGCACAAAAATGAACTTTCATACAAGACATTTATACTGGACAATGTAAGGATGTGAATTGTAATATACATCAAATGGGAGCACCCTCAATCCATCCTCTAGAGTCTCCCATGTGCGAAGAGCATACTTGCACTGTCAACAGAGCAGACATCAAAATAAGGTGTCTTAGTGGGAAAGAAAATCACTCAACATCACAGTTCAGCCGGAGGAAACAATAGCTCTGCTGACCTAAGTGGAATAACAGCTTTGCATGTCATATTCTCTTGAGAGATATACAGAGACAGCAAGAGAAAAGGAGCAGGAATTACCTATTTTCTTATTAATTTCAGCATTTTCACTGTTTGTTTTATCACTATACATTAGAGGTATTAATGGATCCTCTCCCACGGGAAACATTAYGAATGAGGTAGCGCTTTTACAATAAAACTTTTATTTAATCTCACTCTTAAGGTGCTCCCATTTCTTTGGAGAGGAAGTGAGATAGAAACTGTTGATTTTCTAATATATGCTGAGAAATGCTTAGGAAATGTCACTTAAGGCAGAAAGACAGAGAACACTCAATGCCCACATTTGATATCCTGTTAGTCTGTGTCCTTGAAAGATAGCATTCTACAAGGAAAAAATGTGTAATKCTGAGGTGGGGCTCCCTCGTCTCTTAAAACATCAGGAATAAATGTTTTGAATGGATGATTTCCCCACCACCATCACCACCACTATTATTGCTCTGTAGGAAGCTACCATCTGCAGTGACCTACGTGTTGCCATAGCAGAAACGCGTATTTCAGTTGCTGGCCTGCATGTCTGCTCACCTATCTGCAGTGTGAGACATTTAGAAAATAAATAACACCTGCCAGAGGGCCTTGCTTGCTTTTTACATTGGTTCAGTTAGGGTCCCTTTCCTTTCCCACCTGGTGCTATGCTAAAGCTACTACAGATGACACAGGGTTGCTGCTTAYAGACAAAGTGCAGCTATCTTTTGAGAAAATATCTGTGCAGAGCTGCTTGTATTGGCTTGGGACATGCATTTTCTTTGCAAGGCACCATCAGCCCCAAGTACTCTGAAACTGCTGGAATCCAGACAACAAAGAGAACTCTTTGGAGAAGATATGCACAATTTTTATGCTTTCTAGGAGGCTTCAGAGACACCTTCTCAAACCAACCAGAACTGTTTCTTTCAAAATTATGGATTTTGAGGAGAGGATAGTGAGAGCCTAGCAGGATGGCTATTCCCACGTGTCTTGGACCTGGTGCTCTATGAGAAACTATCAACTATCAGGAAGCACCACTTTGGGCACTGGTAACACTACTAATGTGTCTTTCCTTAAGAAACCTTGCGGTGTCATTAAAGGCACAATTTCAGTTACTGAAGGCTTAAATGTGGAGAAGGAAATGTTTCAGTTCATCCGGGAGGAGAAGTCCAGCTATTTTTTGATGCTGTCGGTGTCCAAAGCACCTCCGGATGCACAGGCGGCACAGCTGCATCAGGGAGAGCGGCCCTGCAGAAAGAGCAGGGGAAGAGGTCACACATGTGGCTTGGTTGCCCTCAGGACGGCTGTTGTGTCCCGACACAGGGCAAATGAAAGCAGCTCTTGCAGCATGGCTGTACATGGAGCTGTCCGACCTTTCCACTTCCATGAGGGAACGCCCCATCGGAAAACATTTATCTCATTAAATAAACAAAAGAAAGACTCCATTCGGAAAGAAAAATAAACCTAAAGACTTACCAAAACAAAATAAGCTATCTCAATGATCTGAAAAAAATCTTTAGAAAGTGCAAGTATACTCTTCAAAAAGAGATTTTAGACTGTTAGCTAATTCACCGGGTCACGCGTAGGAGAACATTGCCTGCAACGCAAGCAAGGCTTGCAGTCACTCAGCAATGCAGCAAAGTCCCAGGGAAGGAGCCACCACAACCAGTCTTGAATGGGACCACACATGCCCTGGGACCACAAGCAGTGGGTAGGACATGGAGAGGCAGCTGGGGCAAGGCGAGGGGGCTTATATTTGCACAGCCCCCTCTGTGCCCYCTTTCAGTCAGCCAAAGGACTTGGAAATCAGCTGCCTAAACAAGGTGACCTTATTTGGAGAAAAAAGCGTGTTGCAAAACATTGGAAAAACACCAGTCAGCAGCAAAAAAATGCCTTCCAACTATTTGTAAAGGTGGGGTTTCCCTTGGAAATACTCGTTATTGTCAGAGCCATCAAGTCTATGCTAGCCAAGTTCCTTGGGCTGCACAGGGTACGCCTGAAATTTTGTGTTATCTCTTGTATCCAGGACGTGCGCAGTGCTGCAGGAGTGAGGAGCTCTGTGTGGCAGGGACTTGCCCTTCCAAGGGTTGCACCTCTGTGCACCACAGATTAAGTGAGAAGACCAGATATCTGCTGCACTTGCATAACAAAGATCGGGCTACTGTTTTTGTGCTGTTATCATCGCACCACAGTTTTGTGCTATGTGCAGGGCCCAAGCCACCGCTCTCTTGCTCCCCTTCTACACTGGTCAGCTCTATTCATGATGAAGTCATGGATCGCATCATTCTAGCTTATTAAAATGATGAATGTCCAGGCTTTTTTATAAAACGTGCAATTTACTGACTGCATGGGAACATCCAAAGATGAGCACAAATACTCCAACAAGGAGTCTCTAGAGACATTATTCAAATCTTCCCCACAAATGATAATTAAATCTTCTCCACATAATTCATTAAAATAATATGTGTAACTGATAAAATACAAACAGCCCTAGAACTATTTGATTTAGATGTAAAAAAATAAGCATTTCCCACAGGTCAAACATATAGTTTGATAGTGCTGATTTATTTGATACATGATACTTTCATTTAAAAAAAGGCTAACATATTGATTTATTATATCATCTCTATGAAGTTTTCCACCAAAAACTAATATAAAGAGGTTAATTTTAAAGACATATTTGCAGCTAAATAGATTTTTAACCCCAAAATAGAACTGAAAGGCAAGATACTAGAAGATCAAGGTTACAGTGTATATATCACATACAACAAAAACATTTTGATTGCCATTTTCCATTTATGTTCAGTCCAGTGCATGATATATTTCTAATCAGTTGTGTGCTATAAAGCGAGAGATCCAGCCCCACTCATTAGCTAGCATCAGTTCCCATCAGGGGTGATTTTCTGCCTTCATTTCTCAGTGTGTTCTGGAATTCCTGGCTCCAATTCCAGTGAAGATATTTGGGAATAAGAAAGACTCACATTGACTTCAGTGCACTTAGGGAATCAGAAAAATCTATGCTTAATTACTAAATACTGTTGCTTGGCTTATATTTTTCTCTCAAATTCTATTTTGTGTTATATTACATGCTTTATTGGATATCTTCCTACTACAATAGGTTCACAGACCCAGAGAGCAAAAAATAGCATTACTGCTGTTCCTGTTATTATTAGTATCACCATTATATTCTGACACTAGAGGAAATAATGTCTAAATATCAGAGTATATAACTAACCTTAGTTGTTTTCATTTTTGTGGAGTTAATAACATGGAATAGTGTATCATTTTGCAGCAGCTCTTTTTCTTTTTTTTTTTTCCACACAGAATCCCATGTGAATGGATAAAACAAATGTTAAGGGGCACCTTCTTTCTGCAGAAAGAGTCGACTTAGTGGATGGCTTGGAGGAACCAGCTCCATTGGCCTTTTGCTGTCGGCGTTCTTTGCCCAGATGTCCGCTCCGTAGTCGATGAGCAGGCTCACGAGCTCGGGGCTGCAGCTCCTGGCAGCTGCGTGCAGTGGGGAGTCCAGGCCCTTGCCACTGTTCACATTTGCTCCTGTACACGAAGAAACAACAAGGAATAGTGACAATGCAGGAAGCTGTTCTCAGTTCCTGCACTGCTTGCTGTGTCTCTGACCGCTTAGCATCCGCACAGATGTGGTTTCCACACTTTGCAGCAGATCATCTCACCTTGTGTTAGTCTGGGAAGCACCAGCGTTGTGATGATTAAGGAAATCATCCCAAAAGAATGGTGCATGAGAAAGTCCAATAGACTTTCACTCATAGCCCAGGCCACAGATTTCCAAAAGCAGGACAAAGATTTGTTTACACCTGAGAGCTTCCTCTAGTCCCCAAGCTACTGCCCCATTCCCTTAAATCACTGCAGGGTATAAAAAAAAAAAAAAAAAAAAAAAGAAGGACGGAGAAGTTCTAGAGGAGCTGGTAAAGAAGGATATAAGTGCTTATAGATGGGTGCTCTCCAATCCATCATTTTGGGACTAATGGCCCCAGAAACACAATAAGGGTGGGCAGCAGAACCTGCAAAACTACTTGTGTTTCTTAACTGTACATTCCCAAGCAAAGAAGTCAGGAAAAGCACAAAAACAGAAAAGCTTTTTTTTTTTTTTTTCAAAGTGAGTTTCTTGCAATATTTCTGTGGCCGCATTATGTCACATGGAACTTTTGGGAAGAAGAGAAGGACTGCTGTAGATAGCAAGGAATGCTCTTGTAAAATTATCTGAGTGTTCAGCCTTATACTAGGTTTGTTTCATGCTAAGAATACAATGTTCAATGTTTTTCTGTGCTGGACATGTTTCAAACTTTTTATGAAATAAGTGAGAATTAAAAACATTTTTGCAGAAATAGCAGTAATTACTTACCTGACTCAAGTAACTTCTTGGCACAGCTTATTTGCTGGTTTTCACAAGCTACATAAAGCGGAGTACCCAGATGTTTGATGTTCTCATCTATATTTACTCCATGGGATGCAAGGAATTCAACACATTGCACATGACCTTAAAGGGGAAAAAAGGTCAAATTGCAGAGAATGCTCATTTTTCAATAGTTCAAATTCTCTATTGCAGCAAGGTAACCTGGAAAGAATCACTGTTTTGACAAGAGGGTAGTGTAATACTTCATCCATTCCCCTTACTCCAGTGTTTTTGACATGGAAAACAGGAGCTGCAAAGCCACAATTAACAAAAATAGATAAACTTCTTGCACTTCGGCCGACTCATTTCAGATGTCTATCTAAGAAGAGCTGAACCATGCCCCAAAGCTAGTCTGGACCATGAATCCCCTTGCAGGTGTCACCAAATGAACACCAATGCCATGAGAGCSAAGGCAAACTGTCCTCAGTTAATGCTGGCGTGGCAGGAGCTGCACTGCTCATGGTGAGAATCAATACAGTGATATKTCATAGATCTAAATCAAACTAGCAACTTTCTCTCTTTCTCTTTTCCACTTGGATCTGTTGCTAGCAACACAGATAGGAGCGTTGATACCCACGGCATTACCTCGCTTAGCAGCTTCATGGATGGGGGATGCTAAGTCACAGGGTGGATGCAGACTGGCTCCATGCTGCAGCAGTAAATTCAAGCAAGCCACACTGCCACTGACACAGGCACTGAACAAAGGAGTGTGCCAGTCAACAGTAACACCATTCACCTGGGGGAAAAAATCACAAGCTTTTCTTTCCTTGCCTTCTCTATGCATGATCATTAAAACAGAAAGGATGAAAGTAGCTCTATTTCTCAACAGAAAATAGGTCTCAATAATTTTTTTTGTTGCTGAAAGTGTCTACTGCTTCCAAGGTTTCCAACTCTGTATCAAAAACTCATTTAAAAAAAAATGAAAAAGAATTGCCCCATTTCCCCTCCCCTCCAGTAAAGAGAAAGCATAGCCACCACAACTCGAGGATCTCATAGGAGTTACAGAGAAATGTGTAACTATTCCTCAGCTACTTCAGTTCAAACACATCCGCCTACACTCAGTTCTGGTTTGCTGGGGCTCCCTGGTGCATGGYAGTGCTTTACCAAGAGGAGACCATGGTGAATCCTCAGAGGGGTTGTCCTGGACAAGTCAGCTCCAGGAGGATGCTGGGTACCTCAACTACCCACCCCCTTTGGAGTTGTAGTATSATTGTCAGTTTGAAATATTCAGTTTTTAGCAGAAAGTGTACAGTGTACAGTTTAACTTTAAACTAAAAAGTAATWGATGGACAATGAATTAATTTTCTTATTCACTATAATTTTGACACTAAGTTGCACAATAGAGGCYATGAGGTACAGCCTCCATTTCATCATTTTACATGTTATTTCCATTTCCTTCCCCTTTGTTGGCATTTGATCCTAACAGTCTTACATCTCAGCTTCAGATTCTGTRTATCTATCAACTCCAATGGGATTAATATTTGCAGAAAACAAAATATGTAGTTATGTACCAGTAAACAATGAGACCACTAAACCATGATCTGAAGAAAAACATTTTTTATTTGTATTTGTGCCTTTTGAATTTGTATCTGCATCTTTGTATCTGTGGATGCCTTTTGGATTGCCTTTTTAAGAATATTTTATTACATATGCACTTTCAGCTGAGCTTTRCAGTGTGTAAGACACTGCAATGCACAGCAGGGAAATAGCACATCATCCAGCCATACAGTCTTTTGATAAATAAGCCCAAAGCTGGATGGCTTGTCCATCATATGCTTACCTGAGCACCATGTTTTAATAAGACACTGGCACAAGCAGCATGGCCCCCTAGGCAGGCTTCATGAAGAGGAGACACCTGGTCTGCTGTAAGCAGATTGACATTGCTCCCCTGATGAAATAATAGAAAATACTATTACAGTAAACCCACCAAAAGGAAAAGAAAATTTTACATAATGATCTTCTAAACGTTTTATAATCTCACCTTCTTCCTTGCCTGAGGTTAATTCATGTTACCTCAATAGGCAAGTAAAGGAAAGTTATGAGACTTGGGCTGTATACAGTATACTAGAGGCCTCCTATACATTACTAAACAAAGCAGAATGTTTTAGCCTTTCTCCCTAGTGCCAAATGCCACTTGGGACACTAGAGGCATTGTTCCAGGCACTTAGCATTCTTTTATTTCTATTGCATCCCAGATAGGAAACTTTGAAATAAAAAAGATGAAAAAATGTTGTTTTTATTGTTTAGGCAATGAAGATTGACAYCTATTTACATCACCATTCCCAGTAAGTTTGTGATTATCTATTTGAAAAGAATTCTGCAATAGTTTTCACTTGTTTTCCAATTTCCACTGTTTAGCACGTTTTGAAGGAAAGTCAGCCTCTGCAAGATAAATGATTTATTTGATTCAACCATGGGTTCTTCTCTTTTTAGCAGTCTTGGCCCTCCAGGAGGTTAGGCTGGAAGAGTTTTCAATAATTCTTCCCTTTCTAGCAAGTGCCCCACAAGACCAAGAATCCAATCTGAAATTCAAAGAATCAGAGCAGTGATGTTCAGAAATCCCTTCCTCCTGGCCACTCCCYGCAGCAGGGGCCATTTGGGCCCAGGATACCCTCAGGCACCTCAGATGGCATCATACATGGATGTGCAGGTGACTGAATTGATGCCTCAGCATGGGTGTGAGGAACTGCCTGCAGATAAAAAACACCTGTTAGGCAATTTCATTACCCTCTGCCCCATAAAATCAAAAAGACTTAGTAACCYTGGATGTTTCACAGCAAAACACAACCTACGTTCAACAATTGACCAAATTCAGTAGCATTTATATCAACCTAGCAAAGGGATACCTGGTTGATGAGCTTCTTCAGGGTAAGCAGACGCCCATGGACAGAGGCATCATGTAAAGGAGACCAGTCTGAGACAAAGTCTGTATAAAGAGAAAGACAGGGCAAAGACTAACAATTCCATGAGCTATTTCGCCAGTGCATTTCATGTCAAATGAGTGCCATCAGGAAATCTTTCTTCTAATTTATTCCTTGAACTACTAAGCTTTTCTTGGAGCAGCCATAAGAAAGGAGTGGGGAAAAAAGGGAAAAAAAAAAAAAAAAAGAATGAGCTCTGAGCGTTTTTAATTCATTCTGTTAGAATTAGACAGCTTTGTTCCATTAAGAAGCCAACAGAGCAATTTACAGAGCATTACCTTGTTCTGACTGAGCTTTTCCCTTGCTTTGAATTATTTCCAGTGTCTTAGTTTTCACAAGCTCATTGCCCTTTTCCTAATAGCCCAAAAGGGGTATGTTTTTAAAAGGCAGCAGCTGCTAAATCCTTTACTTCTACTCAGAGATGGGCTAGAATCAACAGTACTGAATTGTGGAAAGTGCCAAAGTATAAAGAGATAAATTGTGTTATCTGTTGACTTTAACTCTCAGTTTCCACTGCTCAGTGTTAGCAGAGGTGGTTAAGTAATAGCCGTATTCCCTGAACCAAGGAAACCACGGAGTGGCATACAACACATGCAGAGAGAATTTCAGGAGAAGGGTCTGCCTTTGCTTTTTATCTTCTTATTTAAGCATTGGTGTGGAAATGAAAGCAGTCAGGATGACCTTAAGTGCATTTCCAGCAAGCTTTTTTTTTTATATATATATGAGAGAGAGAGGCTTTCCTTCACAGGATGTGTGAAGCACAGGTTTTCTCATTGCTTTCCTYCACTGAGGAAAGTGGGGAGGGAGCCTGTCCTGGGACACCCCTAGCCCTAGGCACAAGGATGAGATTTTACCCAAGTACATTGCAAAGAAATTATTCCTACTGCTAAGATAAACACACTAACACATCTGATGCTGATGGAAAGGTAACTTTGCTAGACTATGTAGAAGACAAGAAAGGCCCACATCAGAAACAGGTTTTTAATGACTGTTTGCAAGTGATCTTGGTATTTAAAACTTGATGTTCAGAAAAGTCCCACACATTAAAAACATTACTGGAAAGGTGTCAGCTTCACTAGAGTGGGATTAGGGAGGTTGGGGAGGGAATCCTTAGTGCCAAATTCAGCATCAAACCTGTCAGATCACATTGAGTGCTTTTCTGATAGACTTCTTCCTATTATTTTGAGGGATGCAGACGAAAGAAAGATTTGATGCATTTTATAAGGCCACCTTTCTACAGTACCCCAGTTATACTGCACAACACAGTGCCCTGAAGCAACATACAGCTGCTGCTGACTTATATGTTTCTTTTCCCTAGTCGCTGTATTTGTTACTTTAACATAGCAAAACAACCCAGCTTAGTGCTAGGGTCCAAAAAAGGGGGTTTTACAGATTTCACAGCTCAGGACGAGGAGACGACACTAATCCCTCAGGATGATATTCGCCTTTTTCTACATTCATTGCCTCAAAACTTAGTGTCTAGTCTAARTTAAAGGCCCAGGTTTCCCTTGGTAAGGAAAAGTGTCTGCAGAGGGCATTTCATCCAGCCCACACATTAGAAACACATTTTGCTGCCCACTGACACATCCCTCTCTGCCTCCATTAAGTAAAAACTTCAATGACCAGCTCAGGCAAGTTGCCAAGGTTTTCATCAGCTAGGCCTCTGTAATGTTGCAAAAGGCCTGTTATACATTTAATTACTCTTGCATGAGTCCTTTATGCCCATGGAACATATTTTTCTAGAGTAATACATAGAGGCAAAAGTATATTTCTGCTGCTCATGTATATCATTTTTAACCCACTAGAGGTTTATCCAAATGCATATCTGCATAGCATCCTCAGCTGACAGAGAAATATTGTCTCTGAACAATGGCTTTTTGAAGGAGCTAATTTTGTTGTTTCCTTTCTTGGATACAAAAAAAAAAAAAAAAAGAAAAAAAGAAAAGAATTATGGTAAGAAGCAGCTATGCAAAATGACAACAGTCACACATATATCACAAGAGAAATTAGGCTGGTTCCTGTGATGCTTCTTACGCAAAGGAAATAATCTATGTATATATATAAAAGTACAACCAAGGATATTTCTAAATATCTGCAGTTTATTTTATATAAATGAGTTTTTATATATATATATATATATATATAAACTCACTCATATATAAACACACACATATATATATTTTATATATATAAATACATATAAATATATATATGTATACACATACACAGACATATATACATATATATCACAGAATCACAGAATGTTCAAGGTTGGAAGGGACCTCTAGAGATCATTGCAAGGTATTTTGCCTTTAACATGCAGAAATGCAGTGGTGTTTATAAAACCTATTGATTTATTCTGGCTAATTCAGCAAGAGACCAAAAGCAGTTAGTTGGTACCTTTCTAAATATCATTGCACAGAATGGTTGAGGTTGGAAGGGACCTCTAGAGACCATCTAGTCCATTTCTGCTCCAGCAGGGACACCTACAGCATGGGGCACAGGGCGGCATCCAGGCCGGTTTGGAAGACCTCTAGAGAGGGAGAATCCACAACCTCCCTGGGCAGCCTGTGCCAGGGCTCTGTCACCCTCACAGTAAAGTTCTTCCTCACATGGAGATGGAACTGCCTGTGTTTCAACTTATTACCCCTTKTTCTGTCACTGGCCACCAATGAGAAGAGCTTGGCCCCTTCCTCCCTTCATTCTCCCTTCATGAACTTATACATGTTAATCAGATTCCCTCTCAGCCTTCTCTTCTGCAGGCTGAACAGGCCCAGCTCACYCAGTCTCTCCTCATACGAGAGATGCTCCATTCCCTTAATCATCTTTGTTGTCCTCTGCTGGACCCTCTCGAGAAGCTCCACATCCCTGTTATACTGGGGAGCCCAGAACTGAACACAGTACTCCAGGTGCGGCCTCACCAGAGCTGAGGAGAGGGGCAGAATCACCTCCCTCGACCTGCTGGCAACACTCCTCCTGATGCAGGCCAGGATCCCATTGGCCTTCTTGGCCACGAGGGCACACTGCTCACTCATGGTTAACTTGGTGTCAACCAGGACTCCCAGGTCCCTCTCCGTGGAGSTGCTTTCCAGCAGGTCGACCCCTAATCTGTMCTGATGCCTGGGGTTATTCCTCCCCAGGTGCAGGACCCTGCACTTGTCCTTATTGAACCTCATGAGGTTCCTCTCTGCCCAACTGTCCAGCCTGTCCAGGTCCCTCTGGATGGCAGCACAGCCCTCCGGAGTGTCGGCCACTCCACCCAGCTTGGTGTCATCTGCAAACTTGCTCAGGGTGCCCACAGTGCCCTCATCCAGGTCATTGAAGAACAAGTTGAACAGCACCGGGCCCAGTMGTGACCCCTGGGGGACACCACTGGCCACAGGCCTCCAACTAGGCTTGGCCTCATTTATCACCACCCTCTGAGCTCTGCCATCCAGCCATATATACATTTATACATACATACATACATACATACATACATACATACATATATATATATATATGATGTATCTACAACCAAAACTATTGCTGAACATCCTTGGGTCCAGAAAGGAACTTCCATTTGTATCCACTGGAGACTGGCCATACTTGGAGACAGGGTACAGACCCATTACCCAGGGGAAGTCTCATTACCTGATCAGTATATGCAGCTCATAGGTACAGTCAGAATGATTACCAGTTCTGAAAGATGAAAGAAATATACGTCCAAGAGCAGACCAGGAGGGACCATCACACACTAGTATTTGTGCCACCGCCGAACATGAGTGCTTCCTGGGGCTTAGCCCAAGGTCTTACTTAACAGATTGCCCTTATGGAGCCTTCTCCTGCATTTCACATGCAATCAGTACAGCTGTGGACTCCATTTTTTTTCCTGTATATCATGTTTGTTGCCAAAGAACAGACAAAATCTGTTGACTGTAAGCTGAAGATTAGGTTTTTCTGTGAATATTTTGAAATTAGATATCTATTCCACTGCTTCATGTGAATGGGAGGGACTGCTCAAATTTAGCAGGCAAATCTGTAGTGCCAAATAGAGAGAGCCAGGAATAAAGAASACCAGGAAGACACAACAGCACTGAACTGTTTTTCATCCATGTGCTTAATTATCCTTATTACTTGAGGTGACTTCAAAACAATGCAGAGAATGGCTCAGAGAAATACTTCAAACCAAAGAAAGCTCCCCAAGGCGCTCATGCACCAGGTTTGGCGCTTTCACTCTACATAAGCCTTCCTCCATAATATTAACCCAACAGGCTTTATAAATACCAACCTCCTTCCTGCCACAATGTCATGCAACATATGTCCTTAGTTTCATGCTATGAAAATATCACTCTACTAAACTGCAACATAGCCCTCACACTATTAAATATACACTATATAAACACACACTAGATAAATATAAATATACGTAAAATAATAAGAATGTCTCAGGGTAACCAAGTGAAGCCCATAGTGTGGATGTGGTCAGTTTGCTTTCAAGCGAGGCTGTAAAGACAAATCCGGCTACACTATCTGTACTCAAAGACAGGAATGGTCCCAGTCTCCTTCATTTAGCAGTATAGAAATAGCCAATGACAGTATGCATCAGGTGGTCTTTTCCAATCTTGAATTCCTATGAATATGAAAGTCAGAAGGAATAACCATAAGAAACTTAAGAGCAACTGAAAATTCACAGGCACAGGAAGATTCATCAACTCAGGTGTGATTCACATTTGAGAGAAGCCTCAAAATTAGAAGGCGGAAGACACAGAACCCCAGTACAGCTTCATGGACTGCAGTGAGCACATGAGCAGATGAATGAAGTCAGGAAGTCTGTGTAATATACTTTGCTTAGCTTTTAAAGAAAGTTGCATCCTTTGCTAATGGAAGCATCTGGAAAGGGCTTGCCACCTTTACTGTGTTCCGTAGTCCATTCTCCACAACAAATGTATGGTTGCAATAATAAGTTCAAACGCCTTCTTTGTCAGCTGTAAACAGTCAGCAATTTCCAAAAGCKATGGCTCATTAGGATAGGGGACCAAGTGATGCTGCAATAATTAAAGCACAGTATGGTTATTAATTCATTAAAAGAGGTTAGGAAAGGTGGGCATTGTGTGTTGYGCGCAGTGGGATTACTGCTGCACATTTGCTTGTGCTTTGTCAATGATTCTTGCATGTGCTTTTTTAAGCAGCCCTGTGAGACAGCCCATTTCAGCCATGATCAGAGTGGGTGAAAAACAAACCCCAGAATTGTCACTAAGTTGGRGAGAAGGCCCTTGTTCTTGTGACATTTTCTGGGAGGAGGATGGTAGTATACTCGGAGACAAATACCTCACCTCTCTCCAAATATCTTGAAGCTATGTCAGATCTACAAGGCAGCCTCTTCAGGGGCTAGTGACCACCATGGTGCCCTTCATACATATCCTGACTGTGTTATTGTTGCTACTGTCACAGGGTCTGCCAAAAACGTCACATTTTCCCAATTAGAAATGAATGYTATTGCAAGATCTGTATGAGTTGTAATGCATGTATGCTTACAAGTTATTCTTAAAAGTTAGACTGAAGAACAAGTTTTCTGAGTTGCAGCTTGATTTTTTTTGGTAACACAGACACAGATAGGGTTTTGAGCAACCCAAACTATTACATTAACCTCTCAGGTTCTGGTAAAGAAGAGGGAGATGTATGATCATGCCATCACAACCACATGCAGATCTTACCCATTCAGGTTTTTCCTGAGAAAGGGAAAGTATCTACTGAGACACTTAACCAGATTGAGATCAGACTAGTTGTCTCTAGACTGGCCACTACTTTGCAATTCTTAAAAACTGCAGTTCTTAAAAACAGATTAAAAGTTTGACAAATTAAAAATAAATATCAGAAGAAAATAAAAATAGGTATGTACAAATCTGTTCTAAATTCACCTGGGAATCTTTAAATGACAGGGACCAAGGACTTTATCATAAGTAAAAGTTGAGACCTAAGGCATCTTTAAGCCAGTGAAGGCTATGCTGGTGAGGAGGCTGGTTATAAAGACATGTTTAATAACTTGAGAATGCCATGACCTGTTGTGCTCCTGCCTCAGCTCCATTTGCAGCGAACACCTCCACCCTGAAAGGACTCCAGGGAGGCACCCTCCTCCTGGAGGACACAATTTTCCCTAGTTCCTGCATGCAGGGCAGCACTCTCAGATTTCTACTTTCTCCCTGCTCTGTTCTGCAATTTGCATTTCTTACCTGAAGGAAATAGACTGCACTGGAAGATGGGATCTTGCTCCTGTTTCTGTGCAGTACAGTGGATACTCCATCAGTAATATAAACGGTCAGTATTTAAGCCATTTACAAGCTTCTGAGTAAAACCTAGGTGAATGTCAAAGCTATTGGTCATACGTTTTTTCCATAAGGAAATAATGATTTTCACAAAAGTCCTATGAGGGAGCAACAATTTCTGATTGCCAAGAGTGCCACACAGGAACAAGCCAGTTTATCGAAAATTGAAATTTACCCAGCATCTTATGCATGGGCATGACAGATCAGGTGTCAGGACTCTCAACAACTAGAAATCTAAAACTCCAAATTCCAAATACAGAGGCATTGGCCTATCTAGCTCACTTTTCACCACTGAAAATCCCAGCTGTCACAGAATATACATTAAACTTTGGATCATATTTGATTGCACTGGCATCACTTGGGCATTTGAATGCCAGCAGTGTATACAGAGAGAGCCTTATGTCCTTAACCACACAAATATGCAACTCCTGACTGCTCCCTGTGGACAACAGAGCATTCCCAGTGCCTTTCTGGGAGAGCATTCATTTTTGCGGTGAGACTTTGGAACATCTTTTTCCAGCCTCTGATCACATGGATAGTGTCGCACCCTGGGCGCCTGCTCCCCCATTGGCTTCCTCCAGCAGTGCTCTCATACRGAGCATCTCCCAAGGGGCTCTAAAAACCATTCAGCTGAAGCACTCTCTGATATACAGACTTGCATAACATGCATGTTTATGGCACTACATATAACAGTACAGAGAGGTATTTTTCATATCTAAAGGCTTTTGCAGGAAGTTGGTGATATAGCCAGAGCCAAATACATTCCTGTTTTAAGTCACTGGAGCCACTTATCGGATCTATCTGGGACCAAGCAGACCTGAGAGGTATGGGATGAACTCGTTTTTTCAAAGGACAAACTCCCTGGTGTGCAGCAGGGCATCTCTATTTCTCTTGAAGCTGCACAAAGCCCAACACTGTTTTGCCAGAGCTTCTCTCCAACATGGAGCTCATATGATTCACACTGTATGTAACAACCCTCTCCTTCCCTGTTCACCCTAGCCTCGTGCCCCTGCATATACATATGCACACACAAGGAGAACAGACTGCATGGCAAATGTACCAGTCATCTTTGCATTGCACGTTACCTCCTTCCATTTTTATGACCCTACTTTTCCTTTTGTTATGAATGGAAAGGTTGCAAAGAGTGAATGGAAGCCCAGCAAAGGAGTTAGAAGAACGTAAAATCATGTTATCTKAACTCACCTTCTTGTTCCCACTGGCCACAAACTGAAGGAGCAACTTCTCAGAAAACAGGACTACAGGGAACACATCTAGCTGAATTGTTATGTTAAGTTTAATTACTTGTCTTTTGTCACCATGTCATATTTTCACAGGCTTCAGGCCAGACAAAAGAGCGATGACCGGGGTGAAGTCATTTGTCTGAATTACTGTTCATCCGCGACCAAAATTGAATAATGGCTGTGGCTAAACCCACTGATACTGGCTAAGCCTCTGCAAGAATATTTCTGCCTGACTATTGGAAAACAAAAGGTAAAAAAAGAGAGAGAAAAGTAAGGGAAAGGGAAAGAGGAAGAGAAGAGGAAAGAGGAAGGTAAAAGGAACTGAGCCACTGCTGAGCTTTCAGCTGGCACTAATCTAAGGAAAACATTCCACATTGCATCTTCTTCGACAGTTTGTTGTGGTTCAAATCCTGCATGTTTTTCCACTTTTATGAACTGCCCTTCAGAATCAATATTCTTTTCTATGTGATGCACACACACACACATAATAAAAACCATTTGCAACTGTCAATAGCATATAAAAAGCCCATCTCAAGTGCAAGAACATGGGGTCATTGTGTAGGATTGTAGGTGGGCTTGCACGGTAAATAGGATACTGGGGGGAACATACCACCATAGCCTGACTTTGTCCTATCCACAGACATGAATCCTGGCAGACTGAAGACTAGCAGGAGTGTTACTTACCCCTCATCAGTGGGTTTGATAGAGAAGTTGCAGATGGCTGGCATCCGGCTCCTTGCAACTTGYTGGTGTTTTGGTTTGCTCCCTCATCATCCATCTCAGCCCAGGCTGCCCAGTTTCTACTTTTTCACTTCACAGTTGGTCCCAAGAGTTCAAATTCCATCCTCCTCGGCAAACCCCTGGTTATGGGAGTAATTTATTAAGCAGGCTGTGTGTGCACAAGGCAAACAGTCCTTGCAGCAGACTGGAACGTGGTGCCGGCAGCACTTTGTGCAGAAACTTGAGCACCTGGATTGGGATCTCATGAAACGCCTCCCTCTCTGGCTTGGGAGGCAGCCAGCAGCCAGGCGGACCACACTGTGCAGAGCAAGAGACGAGCCTGATGTCATATCCTTCCCAACGCTGCACCCAATCAGGGCGCCTGCCGTCTGCTTTTATCAGGAAGGAAATTCTTAGTTTGCCAAAAAAAAAAAAAAAAAGAGGCAGAAAGAGCCAGTTCAACTAGTTCAGCAAACTCTGCCTGCAGGGGATTTGTAAAGAAAACCCAGAGAGATACTGGTGTGCACTGATCTGCACCACTCCCAGGCGAGYGGTTTAGCAGGCAGCTTTGCCCCGTGCCTCTCGGAGTAGTGTGCAGCATGCAAAGCCATTGGTGTTATCTGAAAAGCCCATGATGCTGGGCAAGAAATGAGCGCTGAATTCCTTGTGCTCGGCAGTGGTCGCCGCATACCATAAGGATATTGAAACCACATGTTTGTAGAGCTGCGCTTTCCACTGGAAAGTCCTTTCCTGTCTCCTCGGCATAAGAAACACAGCCTTATGCAGGCTGCTCTCCTTCTACCCTGCTTCTACAATCATACAGATAGTTTCATGTCTGTGCGTTGCCTTTTTTATTTCTAAGCAATTTCTCAGACTAAAATAATGCCAATGAAGCTACTGTCAAGTAAATAACAACAGGCCTCTATCTCATTTCTGATTCTTTACAGAAATACTGTCCTCACAGATCATCTCTGTTTCCTCTTTTTTTTTTACCAGATAAGTATAATTCACATACGCAAAATCTGTTTGCACTACTTGAATGTTTGTTCATTTGGGTACAAGTAGATTTTACATGGCATGTAAAATGGATGTATAAAAAAACTCATCCATGTAAATAAAATGAGAATTTTCTTGAATATACATGCAGGGTGGAATTTGTATCTCTTCCCAATTCCTAAGCAACTGGATTTCATTTCTGTTTCTATTTATAACATACACAAGAATTTCAGAATCACTTTTAGATCTTTTTCCCACATCTTAAAAAAATCTATTATATTAATAGATGCAAACAGCAGCTCAATTTCACCAACACACCCTGTCTGCAAGGCATTTGTGAAAGCACACTGGAGACATCCTGGTGCATAGCTGCTGATCAAGTACRGATGAAGACAAGGCCTGCCAGTTCCCTTGACTTCTCAGTGTGACCTCACATGCTTGATGTAAGTGTTAACACTTTGGTCAGATTGGTGTGTATATTTGTCTCTGAACCATTACAACTGAAGTGTTAAAAAAAGTTACGATACTGATTGTACATTTCTGGGTCATGTTCTTTTAAATAAGTCTCTGTCTTGTTAGATGAGCTTTAGTCTGATCTTTCCAGAAGGTGGAATGGTTACACAAAACATCTAAAGGGGTCACAAGCCCATGACTACTGCTCTGGGAAGCCTCCTGCCCTTAGCCCTTCTGAAAGGGGTAGATTCATAGCCCTAAGATCTACTTCATCCCGAGGTGCTGGTGTTCTGSTCCACATGTATTTATATGTCTTGGAAAAAATAGACACAGGCATCACAAAAGGAGTTTCTACTTTAATCACACTTAATTCTGATAGCACTAGAGAGGTGGATACCTGCGAAAAGCCACAATGACAGCTCTTTTTACCACATCCAGTCCTAGAGAGCTGGAACTCCTTTCTAGGTTACAGCAGCATACTAGGAAATGTAACTCTTTGGTCATTCTTTCCTCTCTGGATCATGGTACAGTCTCATATAACTAGATTCCTGTCTTGTGGCTGGTCCTAAAACATAGGACATCACCAGTTCCTCTCACAAATCCCCTCCACTTTTATTGCGTTCTGGAAATGTTTTACTCCACAAAACCCTGTCTGACTGATGGCAAACTGGAAAAGGGGGCATTATCTGGGATGTAGCTATCATTCTTTGGACCAAGCTAAATTTATTCTGATGTTAGTAGGTTTAGCAACAATTCTGCCTGAAGTTAGACACTTACTTCTGGGATAAAAAGACAGTAAGGTAACAAGATAGTATAAGATAGTATAAGATATATAAGATAGAGTATAAGATAGTATAAGATATATAAGATATATAACAAGATAATATAAGAGTTTGCTACTTCAAATCTTCCAAAAGTTCATAAAATGAAGCAAATTCATACTCAAAATCTCGAAACCAGCTTAACATTTTTATTTCAGCTATGCACCTTATCCTTTCTTTGCATTCTTAAAGCTTGTAGGACAATTTCAGATGTGGACTATTTTGATCTGTGAGATGGGAAATTAAGGGAATAAATAAATAATGAAAAGGAGTTATTACCTGTGCACGCACAGTGTTTGAAAAGCTACTGCCTCGTCTGTATCCCTATCTTGAATGAGAGTTTTTGCAGAGACAGCTAGTGCTGGGGAAGTTAAGATACTCTCCAGTGCAGGAGCCTGGGCTGAGCCTGAGCTCTAGGGTACTTCAGAGTGGAAGGTCAAGTCCTGAAATGCAACATTAGTGTGAGCCCACACTCTCCTTCATCTCATTTGAATGGATGGGACATGTCCAGATTTGAGGCTGTATCCACCTTCTCCACTGACCAACTGGAGCTGCAGTATTGTGAGAGGATCTATATAGGCTTGCTGAGCACTGAGAGTATGTGAGAGCCCTAAAATCATTTAATTAGTTTGGGTCTTTTTTTTTTTTTTTTTGGATGAAAACAACAAATTCTCAAACTAAAGAACGTGTTTTAATGGCAGCCTGAATCTCAAGATAAACAGCACACACAAATTCAAATATAGACTAAAAACTAGAGCTTATGCAACACAGAAACACACCAGGGATTTTACTCATTATGATAATATTTTCCATTTAAATAGCACACACATCCCTATGTTTTAAAAATCTAGATAGAGAAATCACTTTGTTCTTACTCAGATACAACTATCTGGTGTGGATAAAAGTGTAAAATAAAGCCATATATATGAATATATATTTGTATATGAGTATATATATTATTCATATATGAATATGAATATGAATATGAATAATATATATTCAATATTACTTTGTTTATAAAACAAAGTCACAAAGTTACTACATTCTTTCATGAGTATGAATAATATATATTCAATATTACTTTGTTTATAGCATATCTTAGAAAGTTACTACATTCTTTCTTTCCTTCAAAGGTAAATTTTTGTAAATAATTCAATGAAATATTCTATTATTTTGATGTACTATTTTCCCACTTGCTTTCAGTTTTTAAATTGCGCATGGCAATTATTGTTCATAAAAGGGATAATACTATTTGCAAGTTTGGACAAGTACATCACAAGGATACAAACTACAGAAATACTGAAAATGTTTGGAAAATTGGACACAAAACATGGGGTTTGTGTTTAACTTTATTGCCTGAGCCAGGGACCTTAGATTTCCTTTAGAGTTAATGAAGAGAAATTGGCATAAATGGTGATTCATTTGATCTATTTAGATGTCTACTTAAGGAGAATATAAGTTGAGCCTTTAAGTGCCTATAAAGGCAGTTCACTGCTTTAGAAGGATACCTTTATGACAAASTTATCCCTCAAATGACAAGCTGAAATATAGATGTTCATGTTTAATCAAGGGAAATCCACTTTAATAGTATGGCTTAAATTCATAATTAAGTGAACCAGTTCTTTGACCACATTTGCCAGTACTATGTTGTGCATACCACACTTCATAGCCTCTAGATGCAACAGTTTAGGGTGAAAGGTCTTTGCTTCCTCACATGAAAGAATCATTTAAATAAGCAAAACACAGCCCCCAATCTAGGATTTGTTTAGAACTAGAGGCTATTGCAGAATCATGAATACCAGGAGTAAGTGTGGCAATGTGAGACCTCTGAACCCGGTCCTCTGACCTAAGTCCAGTGCTGGCCTATGCTTGRCCTGCAACACTGTGTCTTTGGTGTAAGCACCTTTCAGAGGGGAGGATATTAATAGAGAGCTCTGGCAAATCTAGCTGTGGTTRTCTAAGTTGTTGCTCCCTGTAGCTGCTTGCCTCACTCCCTACTTCCAGCGTGGATTGCCCATATCCTTGCAAGGAATAGCAGCATGGGATGCACGTTGGTGTCTCATCTGCCTTAGTGCACAGTCCACCAGTCC